AAAAAAAAGTATGGTAATACTTTAATGCTTTTTCTGTAAAATAACTGCACTTTCATTGTCTAGCATTAATACATACTCTTATCAGCTTCTGTTAACAATGTCATTAACTTATTTCAACGTAGAAATAAAACTGAAATCGGGAGTAGAGTTCTAACTTTTGGTCCGGCCCTCCACAATATTTTCTGCTTTTCATTTGGCCCCCCCGGGAAAATAATTGCCCACCCCTGGATTAGAGCCTCGATGTCCACAGGTATAAAGTGGGACCGAGGATCGCAACAACCACGAAGGAATTAGTGATGTGTCGTTCTTGTGGAGGCTCTCAGTCGTACAGGAAAGTTCCATCGTAGAAAGGGTTCTGTCAGTCGTCATCTGTACCTGTGGGTAAAAAACAAAAAACAAAACAAAAAAAAACAAAACAAAACTTTTTTTTTTTTTTTTTTTTTTTGTTTTGTTTTTTGTTTTTTACCCACAGGTACAGATGACGACTGACAGAACCCTTTCTACGATGGAACTTTCCTGTACGACTGAGAGCCTCCACAAGAACGACACATCACTAATTCCTTCGTGGTTGTTGCGATCCTCGGTCCCACTTTATACCTGTGGACATCGAGGCTCTAATCCAGGGGTGGGCAATTATTTTCCCGGGGGGGCCAAATGAAAAGCAGAAAATATTGTGGAGGGCCGGACCAAAAGTTAGAACTCTACTCCCGATTTCAGTTTTATTTCTACGTTGAAATAAGTTAATGACATTGTTAACAGAAGCTGCTACGAGTATGTATTAATGCTAGACAATGAAAGTGCAGTTATTTTACAGAAAAAGCATTAAAGTATTACCATACTTTTTTTTGTTCATGAGAACAGTGAAACAACTGTGGTATATGTCCTGAACAACATACATGTGTGACAACACAAGCAACAAAGTGCAACAATATATTTCCCAAAAAACTGCAGCATACAGTACAAGTACATGACAAAATATAACAAAGTTAGGACTATTTGCTGCAAAATGAGACGAGTAAAAGACCTGGTGGCTTTCTTTCCACTCACTCACTGTCTCGAACTTGACCTCCACTCGATCACCACACAAGACAGCATTGCTCAGCTGATGTTGTGCAACGAACTTTTGAAGCCAGCCACGGGACGCTTCGAAGTCTTCCGACACCCATAGCGCTATGGAACTTGATTGCTCTCTTATTAGCGGTCCAGTTTGCGGAAAGTTTTTAGCACGATAACAAGTCAAACCATTCCAGCCAACGTTTATTTGTTCGACTGTCCGTCGAGCCGCATGCAATTCACTCTGAGCATGGAAACACCCAGAATTGGAATGAGCAAGAATCGCTTCCTCGTTTTTCAAAGTGTCGTAGATTTGAGTCTATCAGACTCCAAGCGTCTCCTGAATGTTTCGTACTTTGTAACCCGCTTTCGATTAATTAGATACACTTCAGTTTCGCGGCCATGACTGTTCCTCTTCCTTTGGCTGCCCTTCTATACAGGACGTAAAAATTTTCGCAATTCCAGTAAAACTCACTGCAATAAAGAGTCGCTTGCATGTCGTCGTTTTGAATCCAATGATTGTAAATTGCGCCGCAGACACACGTATTCCGTCGTATCGAGCGGAGTTACTTGAGTTTGCGCGACTGCGGGCTTCCGTATCGTCTTCCTCTCCCTCCCTGTGCTCTGCAACTTCAAGTAACTCCGCCACCTGGCGTTGAAATGCCTGTCATTACACGTCCAAATGAAATGAATGCAATCATTTACCTCGAACCTCAATTGTGTACTGTACCAACTACCAGGCCGGATTAAAAAGACCAAGGGGCCGAATCCGGCCCGCGGGCCATAATTTGCCCAGGTCTGCTCTAGAACATGCTTCCTGACATTCCTCGATC